AAGCACCAATTAGGGGGAATCCTGGGGTACATCAGGGGGGGATCAGTACCCCTGGATCAGGGCCGCCGAGTTCGCCGAAGGTACCCATGCCCCCCCCCCCCTCCCCCCCCGATCGGCTTGGTACCTTCACGGGGCCCCGGGCTGGCTTTGGCAATAGGCTACTCCTTGAAGCAGTAGTTGTTGTCTTTCCACATCGAACTGAGCCAGACGGCAATGCCGCGTTCTGAAACGACCGTTTCATGTTTCCAAGGTAAAGAGTATCGAGCATATTACCCTCTCTCGGCTAGGTGGATGGCGCACCCCGAACTATCCATGCTTTGTTGCTGTCGTTGGGGTGCTTACTTTCCAAACACCTCCCCCCCTTCTTCCGTCCCCGTGGCGTGTAGATTACGCTGGAGGCCACGGCACCCACACGGCCGGCTCCGCGGCCGGCGCGGTCGTGAGCTCGCCCTCCTACTCGCAGACCGGCGATTTCACCGAGGTCTGCGAAGAAGGCAGGGAGCTGAGCTGTGTCGGCGGCTGCATCGACGTCGACGATACCTTCGGGGGGGATGATCTGGTGAGATGTCTTTTGTAGGAAATATGCATAATAACCCGTTCGAGAGAATACCACAGTCGAACGGGATGTGTGTGTTGCATGTTAATCTTTTCAGTGAATGGGGGGGAAATCCTGCTGGATACCGGGCCTATTTTTGAGTCTATGTATGTCTGTGCACTGAAAACACCTTTTCCTGAAACTAAGAGTGTGGGGATGACTCGGCCGTGTGAGCGGATTGATTCTGCCTTCTCCCGCTTGCCTGCACGGGAAAACAATTGCCCAACCACGTTTTTCTGGGACTGCAAGCCTGTGAAGGGAACCGCATGCAACAAAGAGCGCAAAAGAAGGCGCACAAATGATTTTGTCTGGGATTGCTTTTTTTGTTTCGACATCCCCAAGATAACTCCTTTTGGCGGGCGGGCTGGGGAGCACCTTGCGCAGCAAGAAGGACAAACTATCGTGTCCCCCGGTCAACCTCTACCCTTGGCACACACACACACACACACCCCTTCACACTGGGCGTGTCTCCTCCGTTTTTTTGTTTTCCCCTTCATTTCTTTATTTTTGTTCTTTCAACGAACACAACAAAATTTGATCTCTGTGTCGACCTTTGGTCCACGAGAAGAAGATTGCAAGGAAGCCATACAGCAGTAGTGTTCCGTGTAGCCCAACTGCTCTGCTGTGTTTCCAGGCAAACACTGCAATGAAATCATCGTGATGTTCCGTAACCTAACTGCTACTGCTGTGTTTTTGCTACTGTTAACTGCGTTTGTTTTTAGAGAATATAAATCCTCAATGACAATACAGCGAGCAGTAGTCGAATGACATGTAGGAGAGTCTTTGCAGTGAGTGAGAGAAAAGAGCAAATTTGTTTTGTTTGTTTTGTTCGGTTGTTTGCCCCGCCCCCCCCCCGCCCCCCCTGGTGTTTGCCATCGGGGTTGGGTTTTCGTCGCTTGGCAGCGATGTTGTAACACAAGCCGATCACTTCGTGAGCTCGGCAACCAGGTTACCGGTTTTTTTTTTGCGGTAACCACAATGGTGATCGAGTAGATAATGTTGTGCGGGGTCGAGAATCCTCACTCCGCACAACGGGGATGATCGCACCACGCTGTGTTAAAATGGTCAAGCACTCTCGAGGCAGTTACACAGCGCTTCCAACTGTCTCTGGAATTGACAGCACCAGAAGATAAATTAAGTCATACGCAGCTGTCATCCGTACACAAGGAAGTAAGCTCAAGATGCCGAACACCCTTCATGCGACTCGCGGAATACCTCACGGCGCTTCGCGCTTGGTGATGTGAGAGCCTGGTCCGGTGAGAACCCGGCGTGCTCCGTCCCGGCTTTGTAGGAATGCGAGGTCAATGGTCTAACGACTACGGCATGCACGACTATGAGTACACCCCCCCAACACACACACACTATGCAGATCACGACCTGGGACTACCAGTACTTTTGGGCCGGGTACGAGGCGATCGATCTCGATCGGTTGTGCCCCCGGCTGGACTGCGACGACCGACCCGAGGAGTACTGCTTGGGAGATGACGAGGCGGAGACGCTCCAGCAACACGGGGGTGTGGCGAGAGGCGCACAGCTGGCGATCTTTGACATACTGGACGATTACACAGGTGGGGTGTAGCACTGCCGTTTGCCCGTGTGGAAAGCGATCGGTCGCGTGTGGGCGGTGGTGGTGGTGGTGGTGGTGGTGGTGGTGGGATGCAGCATTTTTTTTTTGTTGCTGTGTCATCGTGTCACAGCGGTGGTGGTGTGGGAAGCGATCGTTTGTGTGTTTTTGCCGAGGAGGACGATTTACCCAAGCGGCCTTTAAAGAGTGTAAGCAGGTGGGGCAACGGCACCGAGGACAACAACCTTAAAATGACCGCAACAGTTGAAACTTCAGCAGCAGCAGCAGCAGCAGCAGCAGCGAAAGCTTTTTCGGTGTTCATTGACGGCCGGAATGGGAGAAGACTTCTTGTTCTTGGAACCCCCCCCCCCCCCCCCAAAATACAAGGGACTTACAGGGAGATGTTTGAGGCATGGAATAGAGAGGAGAGGACGGTAGCTGTACTGGGGAGTAGGAAGTGGTTTGAAAAGGCGGGAAGGGATATCGTTAGGATAGACAGACTAGGGAAGACATTTGTGAGCCACCTTTGGCAAAGTAGGAAGGAACGATTGGCCATCGGTGATCGGTCCTGTGGGAACAATGCTCCGTCCTCTCGAGGACGCGTGGTCAATTTTCTAACCGCTAAGGCATGCAGAACATAAGAGTACGCCCACCTTCAATACATGTGTACCACCGGTGTTTTGTTGGCACACGTACCTCGCTTCTTGCCCGGTTGGAGAACGGAGAGGACGACGGTGTGACCGTACTTTAAAGGCTTTCGTGTGTACATGAGTTCGCGGACTCGCCCCTAGCTAGCACCCCATTTTGGAGTACAGGTACCAGGGAGTATGTCAGACGCGAGGGTGACAGAGAGATATAGACTGCACTCAACACAATTTAAGTGCGTTTACGCCGGGAAAAATGGGAGTTGCACTATACAAGATTGCGACTGCCGTGCAAATATGTCCAACAGCATCGCACCACGACGAACAAACGAGCCCGTCGCAAATGCAAGAATTGATATCTAGCTCTCGTTTTTACGCACTTGCCGATGCATCTCGCCTCCTGCACGTCGATGATACTACATACACACCTGCTTCTTCTGTGCGTGTGTTCGTCCCATCTATGTGTACCACATCTTATACTGCTGCTTTCACCGACTATTCAAGCAAAGATAACGTTGGTTGCGTAAAAGGGTTAGAAAAGCCTGCCGAATCCCCCAAGTGAAAACCTCCCACACGTACCTACCTTGTCGCGCCACGCCGCGCCACGCTGCACCACGCAGGCATCGGCATCGAGATGGCGGGCAACGGGATGTGGGAGCCGGCCATGGAGGCCGGCAGCAAGCTCAGCTCCAACTCCTGGGGCATCTACGCGTACTGCGAGTACCTCTCCTACGACGTCCTGTACGACGACTTCATGTACCGCAACCAGGACCAGCTCCTCCTCTTCGCGGCCGGGAACGACGGGGAGGAATGGAGCGGCTGCACCATGGGCAGCCCGGCGGTGGCCAAGAACGTGCTGGCGGTGGGGGCGAGCACGTCGGGGCCCGGGCGGCTGTCGTTCACCGATGAGGACGGGGATCCCACGGATGGGGACAGCCGGGTGCAGGACATCGACGCCATGGCCTACTTCAGCTCTTTCGGGCCGACACTGGACGGCCGGATCAAGCCGGAGGTGGTCGCACCGGGGGACATGGTGAGTTTATTTATTTATTTATTTCACGCCATGTTGTTGTACCTGGCGAGGGTAAGGCGAGAGCCGTACTTACTATTATGGTAGCCGTTCTGCTCTTCGTTGGTGGTGTTGTTTTTTGTCCTCGTCGTCGTCTTTGTTGTTTTGGCAGTGGCGCCAAGTGCGTCCGCCTTGTAATCCTGGGTGCTGTCATGTACGTTATTTGCTGTTTCAACATGAACGAACGCTGGTGCTGACTCCGTCGTCGTCGTCGTCGTCGTCGTCGTCGTCGTCGTCGTCGTCGTCGTCGTCGTCGTCTAAGTATTTTTTCCTTCACTCCCGGACACGGAAAGCTTTCGCAAAAGCAAAGTTGCACGTATCGCGCCGCACCGAAACGCTCAACCCAACTCCCGACGGTGGATGCTGTTCGGTATCACTGACTTTCGTTCCGCTCTCCCTCTCTCTCTCTCGCTCTTTCTCTCCCTCCCATGGTGCCTTCTGTTCGAATCGTTACGCGCGCGCGTGTCCAAGATTTACTCGGCGGCTGGCGGCGGCGACGGAAACTACACGTGCAGGCTGTGGCAGTACGCGGGAACGAGCATGTCCACTCCGGTAGTTGCTGGCGCAGCAGCTTTGGTGAGAGTTGACCACATAATACGAAACATCGGGGTGGGGAGGGGCTACATCGTGGGTCAAAGTCATCCAGCCACGTATTTTCACCACCACGTTCTGGGTGCTGATCTGGTTAAACGTGTCGGGGATTCATTTTGATGGGATGGGACAGCAATGCGCGACAGGGGAGTGTGATCGGGTTTTTTTTTTGCTCCTCTGCGAAAAGGCATGTTTGTGTGGAAGATCACCCCGCGGGAATCTCGAATCGCAAAGAACCGCCACGCGGTCGTCCCTTTTCCTTTTTTTTTATGTATCGTCACCTGCATGCTACGCAACAACTCTCGTTGGTTCGAACATCATGATTTATTAGCTTATCCGACGCTTTTTTTGGCACTTCACTGCGTGCACCTTTCTTTACCCGACAGGTTCGACAGTACTTCAAGAACGAAACGTTCTACACGCACGACGTGGAGGAAAGAGGCTTCTGCGACTCGTTCGGTTGCGAGCCATTCGCGCCGTCCGCGGCCACCGTGAAAGTCACACATGCATG